CCTTTTTCCACGGTACTGGTGAGTTCGGAGCGGCCACACTCTTTGCTCTTGAATGTAATGTAAAATAAAGTTGTCCTCCGAAGAGGGGGGGTGGTGGTGGGCAATAAAAATTTAAATGGTTGATTTTAAACCCTTATTTTTGTTGTGGGACCACAGTTGTGCTGTAAGTAACAAAGGTGTCATGGCTCTCATTCAATTCAGTTATTCAGTATTGTATTGTCCTATGAGGGGAAATATGTTTTGCAGCAGGACACACGACAATAAAAACGGGAAATAAATAAAACAACCCATGCAGTTATACATATAGTATTTAAAGTAGTTACAAACACTTTTTTTTTCTATTAATCTTCCATTAAAATGTTAATGGTCTGTTTCTTGGGTATATGGAAGCATTCTGGAGCGGACACCCTATTTTGTTCACACATTGCAGTTGGTCGTCAACATGATCCACAAAGAAGTCTGTCTTGCACGTCTCTTGGAAAAGGGTCATCAGTTGCAATGGAGAAACTCCGCCAGCTCTGTGGACTTACTCTAATTAAAGATTGTGTGACAAGGTGGACCAGCACATTTCAAATGATTTTGCGCCTTCTTCAGGTGAAGGACTCTGTGGTCCAAGTTGCAGATGAGATGGCTTGGGATTGTCTTCTGCAAAGTGAGTGGATGAAGATGACTGCTGTCCGAGATTTCCTGCTGCCCTTTGCTGACCATACAAAAACACTTCAAAGTGATACAATGTCTCTGTCTTTGATTGTGCCAGCTTCACTAGACTTGATCACTCACCTCTCCCGGTGCTCTATGGAATCAGCTCACAGAGACCTTCATGTTCTGGCAGACAAAATTAAAGTTAACCTGGAACAACGCTTCAGCTGTTTCCTATTCCCCAGTGAAGCCAAGTTCTCTCTACTTGCAGCTGCTGCTTGCTTTCCTGACCCAACAGTTGCTGGAGATGTTCTCATTGAAAACACAGATGATGGAATCCAGGAACTTCTGAATGAAGCAGAAAAATTTGTCCTCAGTGCATCCACATCAACAACACAAGGGAAGGATGATTTGGAAATAGATGATGGGGATGCATCAGTGAAGGATGTTGAAGAGGTGCCGCCCTCGAAGCGATAGCGATTTAGGTTTTTGTCCACCAAGTTGGCATCCTCCAAACTGTCAAAACTACCAGTGCTGAACAGGAGATGAGGAAATACAAAGAGGAGCTTTCATCTTTGAAGATCTCAGATTTTGAACATGGAATAGACTTTTGGTTGATGACATATGTCAATTTGAAACCTCTTGCTCTAAATTTACTTGCCTGCATCACAGGCTTTTGCCGAGCGGGTGTTTAGTATTACAGGCCACACAAAAGTCCCTTTTTTGTCGTTTTGTCGTATTTTTGACGAAGGGCTATTATAAGTTGTGTTTTGCACACAGTTAGATGGTTGTTTGATAAGCGTTTGATGCCCAAATAACAAAAATTGAATTAAAATGGGCATATAGTTCAATTTGATGGGTGTTTTGATGCCCTAATAAAAAAATGAAACAGGAAAAAGTACAAGAATGTGTAGTTGATATTTACATAAAATAAGACCTGTGAATGAAATATGATTGTATTGCACCTTTTATAACAAATATTAGGCATTCATTTTTATATAAGAAAGAAGTATGGTAAGTTGGGTGGTGCAGTGGTTAGCACTGTTGCCTCACACCTCTGGGACCAAGGTTTGAGTCTCCACCAGGGTCCATGTGTGTGGAGCTTGTATGTTCTCCGTGTGGTGTTTCCCCCCGCAGTCCAAAAAACATGCTGGGGTTAATTGGAATTGCCCATAGGTGTGAGTGTGCCCTGCGATGGGCAGGTGTGCCATCCTGGGTTGTTCCCCACTTTACACCTGTAGCCTCCAGGATAGGCTTTGGACCCCCCATGACCCTGAATAGGATAAGCAGTTTCAGAACATGGGAGTATGGTAAGTCAGTAACACATTCCCTGCCTAGATGACTAAGTGTCATAGACTAAGTGTAAATATGAGGTATGCTTACCTCTCAAGGGAATTAACTAGGACCAGTATCCTTTAGCAAAATGCATTTAAGTACCATGAACCTGTCTGAGAAAATGACTAAAAAACTGCCTAAAATTAGACTAAAATCAAACCTGAGTTCCACTGACTAAATCTGAAGTAAAACAAAAAAATAGACTAAAATGTGACTTTAATCCAACTACAATTTTCAGTACATGACTAAGACTAAAACTAAAGTAAATACTCTTGCCAAAATTAACACTGAGCCCAACTGTGAGCTGGCCCACAGAAAACCCACATAGGGGCCCCAAAGGGCAGAACTGCTGCGGGCCCTCATTGCAAAGTCTGTTTAAAAACCGTTGCAACCAAAGGAAGCAGCATGACAAATTTATTCCAGCACCTAAAGCAGAGGCACGCAGCGGAGTGGGAGAAGTGCAGCTCCCAGTGAAATTAAAATAGCCGCAGCACCAGCACAACATCAAAGTTAAGCAAGCAACCATCCCTGACACATTTTCAAACTGTGTGCCATATGATAAGAATGGCACACGGTGGAAGGCGATAACTAACGCTCTCGCGATGTATATTGCAAAAGACATGGTGCCCATACATACTGTGGAAAAGCCAGGATTTATTAACATGGTAAAAGTTTATAAGTTTCTAAAAGTGTTTACAATGGCGTGGTCTGCCATCTCACATCTTTTTTGGCTTGTCAGATTGCACTTTAATTCTAAAATTAAAAAAACAAAAAAAAACCAAAATAAAATTAAAACTTGCTTTGAACCATTTGTCATCTGTAGTTTGATTATGAGTAGGGGAGGGGAAAAGCGATCAAAATCGAAAGTCTGATTTATTGTGAAAAAAATTGGAGATTTTATTTTTAGGCCATATCACCCAGCTCTAATTGGAATAATCTCTAATCTTTTCTGTGCAAACTTGTGTTGGACATTCCTTGATTCTACCACTTTCAATCAATTTTCTTCTGGCTGGGCGTGACATTTTGAATCCCTTTAGCTACCTAAGACATACAAAGGGCCATTAAAGGGGGATTGAGAAGTTCATGCAAACTTCTTGCAAAGTCTCCAATGCACAGGAAATCAGCCATATTCAGGAAACAGCACACACAGCAGTCATAGTTTCAAGGGTGTGTCTATACAGATACTCCCCCCGACTCTGCTGTGTATTTCCGTAAGTAAGTTTTTTTTTAAGTGTTTAATTGCAAAAATAGCAGCATTAAGAGGGGAAATTAGGTCATTCCCGTGCTTTCGCTTATACTGAAAACGGATTATTTACAGCCATAAACATCACAAGGACGTCTTGTAGTTAGATTGAAAACAATGAAACGACTAATCCTGAGTTGCCAATCATGGAAGTCTACGTAAGTACCTTATTTTATATACATTTTATAATTTTAATATATTTTTACATAATTAAAATAGTGCATGTGATAGTCCACAACTAAAATTGTTGTACATCTGATTTAAAAATCATGAAGTTGGTAGTTTGTGTTATTTGAAATTTACTTTTGATTAAATGAAATGATTTCCATAATTAGTAAATTATGGAAATTCAGTAAAATGACTGTTCACATTAGTTTAATCAAATTCTTTTAAATGTGTAGTCATTAGAATGACAGTGAATCCAGCTGTGTGTTTCTCCTGTCACTGACACTCAGATTTTAGAATTTTTTACATACCAGAAATCATTTACACTTTGTTTGGGTATGTCACTAGTTAGCATGGCTTGCAAGTGGTAAAACAACAAACTCTAAAACTAACTGAAATAAAATAAAGATGAGTATATAAGGATATGAGTTAAAAAACCTGCTTATCAGCCTATATTTGCCTTCCAGACATCCCTCCTCTAAATAATCAACGGTCGCTATAGCCTACAATAAGTATCGCAAATTAATAAAATTACATGTGTGCCAGCGAGATTAAAAGATGAAGAAGGTAGATTAAATGGATATGCAGACACCATGATGCAAATGTGAAACCCTTTGTTCCCAGTGTTACACAAACCCCAACAAGAGATGTTGTGGATGTAAGCATTCAAGATTGTATTGTACAGTTCTAGGTCAAAATAAAATATATATTAACACACCAAGCTACTACGGAAATCATTTATAAAGAGCTGATAAAAGTGAAGTGTTAGAAATATGTGTTTTCTGGCTATGTTCTTAGGTTTACAATGCTTATTAAAGCTTTGTCTTTATTTATAATACATTTTGTTCTCTGTGTTCTCCTTTCAAGGCTTCTTTCTCTCTAAATTATGAAGCTCAGTAAAAATACACATTCAGATAAACATGGAAAAATCTCACAAACCTAATAAACTACTGAAAAGGAGCCCAAACTGAACAAAAGGTATTTAAGTAAAAATACTTATTTTATTTTGTTTTAAAGAATTAAAAACTCATTTTAAAAAAAGGAACTAAAATTACCCTTCTGGGTAGGTTGTCCTCAGCGTGTTGTCTAACCATGTGCGCACACAAGGTTTCTAACTGAAAGGTTTCGATCTGGCGTGGCACTCAGACTCTCATGCTCATGCAAGCAGTTACAGCAAATTTATATAATTTTATTATACACTACCATTCAAAAGTTTGTGGCCACTTAGAAATTTCCTAGTTTTCAATGAAATGAGTATGAATAGGAAATATAGCTAAATAAATAGGAAATGGTCATTGACAAAGTTAGAAATAATCATTTAAAATAATAATTGTGTTCTTCCCTGGTCTTCCTGTTTCTTCCACAATTTGGTAACTGTACTTGGTTTGTTTTGTAGGGTCCATGCAGGTATTGCCTCATACTACCAGTAGTGACACTGACTATAGCGAAATACAAAATGTCATTTTATTGTTACTTAGTTATAGTGCTACTATTTAGCAGTCAACAAAATATCAAATTGTATAAAAATAGTCATAAATAATTCAAAAGTCATATACATGTAAATTAAAATAGTTAAAACAGCTCTTCAAATTAAATCAAAATAAGAAAGTCCCAAGAGTTTTGATACTCCGTTCTATTTTTGTGAAAACTGCAAAAGCACCCAGAGGACCGAGGCTCAGGGCACTGCATGCAGGTGTACTTTGTTTTTCTTTTTTTTTCTTTTCTTTTTTTTTTTTGCCCACCACCACCACCACCACCACCACCACCA